GATGGAGATATTGCATAAAGATGTAAGGCTAATTCTTGCAATTGGTCATTGTTTTTATCTGTATTAATACTTAACCATTAATACCATATACACCACATAAGCAATTGCAATTGAGATTAAAACTACCAAGGAGCACTCAGCCACAGCTGTATAAATAAAATATTGAGATTTACTGCGAGATCGAAATTCATATCTCACAGTACATATGTACAATGTGCTAAAATTTCCTCATATAGGTGTACAACCATAACAAAGCTGTATATACAAACTCAATTTTTCTTGTACAGCAAAATTCCACAACCCAGTTAATACTAATACTAATACTAATACTATTACTATAATTAAAATTTTGGGATGGGATATTTGATATGAAATTTTGTAGGGATGTTAATTTGATTGTACAAAAATCGATTTTATTTAATCAAATTAAAAGTGATCAACAAAATTTTATTTAAAAATCAGAGAAAAATAATAAATAATATGGACGAATTTGAAGCATATAAAAATTATACCTCGAATGCTTCCTATTAAAGAAAATGAATCATTAAAATGGTGAGTGGCATGATAATGAAACATTCCCAATATTTTCTACTTTGGCCAAAAAATATTTGGCAATTCCTTCTCAGTCCCTTCAGAAAGACTTTTTTCTGATGCAGGATAACAAATTACTTTTGTTGTGAAACAGACTTAGCTTACAGTCTGTTGATCAAGTTCTTTTTTTATAAAAATTGAAAAGACTTACAAGTGACCTGGTCCCGTTTTAATATATTTTATATTTTATATTTTATATTTTATATTTTATTATTTCACATTTAACATGTTTGTTGTACTGTAAAGTGTGGTTACAGATTTGTCGAAGCTTTCTAGGTACAAGAAAAAGGCGGCAAGCAGATAATTGTTAGATAAATTCGTCATTGAACATAAAAGCTGCAATTAATTGACGAGTGTAGTTGAAAAGTTAACTCAAACTCGGTCATAAACGTAAAACAATTAAGAAGATTGACAAAAAAGCTATATATTCACAATTTGTTTCAATTCACCAATCAGTTTACAATCTATTATAATTGATTTTTTCGATTTCGATTATCGAGATCCCTAAAATTCTGATTGGCTAATAACTAATTTATTTGAATTTTTATATAATAAATATAAATAGTATATAGTTATTTATATTTTGGATTTCGCCCCAACCAAAAAAGCTCAAAATGGACACACATGAAGATTCTGAAGTTGATTGTTTAATTCCGCAAAATAATAGTGAAAATGATAATACTAATTATACAACAACAACAACGTCGTCAATCCCACCAGCTTCAGGTTGTACTATTCCAACACCCATAGGTCGAACAACCTTTAACATGGCCTTTATTTTGTATTTGTTTGCAAGTCTTGGTGTTTTATTGTTTTCTAGTACTGTTTGGTACATAATGTGGAACGCTGATTATTTATTTTTCGTGTGGCATCCAACATTCATGGCTTTAACTATTTTCATGGTCACGAATGGTAAGTGCAATATAATACATATACTAACAATTAATTATTATAATAAATGGATGTCTAAAAGATCTAAATAACTTAATAGGCATTCTTGTTCTTCAAAAAACTACGACCAGAGAAGAAAAAAGTATGGGACTTAACTTGCATAGATTGATTCAAACTATTTCGTTATTAAGTGTAATCAGTGGATTTTACGTCATCATCACTTTTAAAAATATGAAAAATAAAGAACATTGTAATTATTTTTTATTTTTTATTGTAAAATTATATTATTTTCAACTAATGAATCTAATGAAAAATCTTCTTTTTATTAAAAAAAAAGTTGCATCTTCTCATGGAGTATTTGGATTAATAACAATTATACTTTTGATAATCCAATCAGTTGGAGGAGTCACTTTGGCAAATTTTCCTGGATTATTTGGAGGAGTTACTAAGGCACAAATGATTTATAAATATCATCGTATAAGTGGATATTTCTTGTTATTTTTTATTTATTTAACGGCTCTCGGAGGCACACAAGCTGAATGGACAAAACAACAATTTGATCATTTATGGATTTGGCTTTTAGCAATCGGATTGGTATTTATAGGAATTATTGGAAGGGTCAAATTTAACAAATTGAGAATTAGATAAAATTATTTAATATTTTTATTATTATTGATTATTTGAATTTTTGGCTTGAGAATCGACTTTCTTGATGTTCTTGTGTTGTGATGGATGAATTCGAATTATTTGGTATATAACATAAATCAATTTGCCATATACAAATACTTTCTTGGTGTAAACATGTAAGGCTCAACTATGAATAATAAATATCATTAAATAAAATCTTATATTTACATTAAAATCAGTCAAATCAGCATTGCTCTATTTTTTAACAAAATTTCCCTTATTGATCATCTCATTGGATATGTAATTTTTTTATGATCGGCATACCACTTTTGTAGAATTTCCGAAATTTGCAAGACATATTATAATAAAATGTGCAGTTTCAAATTGTTATTTCTCCCTCATTTTCAACAATATAGGTGCCAAATGTGTGTGAAAGATAGCAGTAGATAGTATTTTAAAAACTCAGAGTGTTATTTGCATTTTAAAAAGTTCAGTATTGTAAAATATTCATTCGAAATTTTCCTTTATTGTAATACATTTGCTCTATTGCAACTTTCAAAAAACATGGTATTCTCTCTGTATCAGTATTTTACATATAATTTTTTTGCAAACGGACGAATTTTGCAGGAGAAATAACAGTTTAAATTCAACGCGTTAAAAATAATTTTGATTCATAATATATACAGTCAGTGATATTACCAAATATGGAATTTCTAAATACTGTAATGATAGACGATCTAGAACAAAAATGATTGGCTAATTTTATGCAGATCTTTTCTTTGAAAAAATAAAAATAGGGAATAAAATCATCACATTTTAAAGCCATTCATTGGTCACATTACTACACCTAGTCACGGGAGGGGTGCGAATAACAAAAATGGGAGGTGCGAATAACAATTCTCTAAAAATAATGCTTTTTTATGAAGAAAACTTGGCGAAGGCTTTATTAAATGATTATATAACCTCCAAAATTATGTATTATGTTTATTTTTAACTGCTTTATGAGTCTATCAAAAAATAATCAATAGCTTCA